GGGAGCTGACCTTGTATATGGTTCTCAGTTAAAGCCTTTTTTCCCCCCACTTTAAATTTGTTTTTCCTTTTATCCACTTTAAATTATAGTGTGCATTTATTGTAATGTGTAAAATGAGGAAAACACTACTAATATTAGTATGATAGTATTTCCAAAGCCTTTTGAAAAAGTATACTTAAACGACTTGACATTGAATACTGTAATACTGCAGACACTGTGAGGCACTGGCAGCTGGTGTGGACACTGTGTGAGGCTCTGTGGGGACGGCTGGGAGAGACAGATCTTGACTCTGAGAGGGAAACTGAATATATACAGCAGCTGGAACGGCGGAAGTCTTTCTCCAGCTGGCTATCTCGGAGTGCAGCTCACAGAATAGAAGAAGAGGTGGGCCTTTCCCAGCACAAGAGTCATGTGGATGCCATCTTCAGCTACTTGACTGGACACCGCATTAGTGAGGCCTGCAGGCTGGCACAAAAATATGGTGAGCTGTTTTTTTATTTATAAGGTAAAAGGTAATCCTGCTTCAGCTCTTTAATGTTTATATTTTTACAGGTATGCTACTTACACGTCGAATCCTACTTGTTTAGTTAAAGCTAGGTTGACTTTGCTAGGACAAGCAAACCTCTGGTATTACTACAGAAAAGGACGACTTAGCAAGTCCTTTTTGGTTAGTCTTGAGTAAATTGTGATGTGGTTTTCTTGCAATTGAACATTATTGCTGTGAAAAATAGGGTACAATCTGTGCCAAAAATGTTCTCCCTATCTTAAGGGAAGGCAACATAATAGCAGTTCAAGTTTGTGTTCTTCATATTTCCTATGGTGTTGATCATGAAGTGTAGGATGTTACTGGAGTGCAAGTATACGTGGCTCCACCATCTTGATTTTGACACATGGCTGTCTCTAGGTGAAAACATTGGATGGTATTATGAATTTTAAAATTTACACGTATACAAATTACAGAAAATGCTGTAGTTTGGTTTCTTTGCTCCAAGTTTTTTTTTAAATTTAACTTGTAAGTGGCTAACTTTCAAGGTGTAATATATATATATCCGTGGGAGTGTACTTTTTCTTTCAGGTAGGCAGGTGCATTATAGCCACTCACCAAGCCATTTGTCTCTGCAGACAGCTTTTAAGTGAGCTGTCTTCTTAACAAGATGTAGTTCTTGTTAGGTGCTAAAGTTTTCACACTTTAGGAAAATCAATAATGCTGTTACCAGATGCATGATTCATTTTTTTTTCTGCCCTTGACCAGATGATCACAGACTGTCCTTGCTGCTGTCTCAGGCGGCTGGAAGCCAGTATAGCCGAGAATTGCTTGCCGTTCAGCTGATTGACTGGAACAAAATGGAGATTGATTCCTTTGTACAGGAGGAGAGACTGTGCATTTTTGCCCTATTGGCTGGGAAACCTGTACGTATATAAACCTTACCCATTAGTCTTTTTTATATACACTAGACCTTGCTGTGTTCTTTCATATCCCACAAAGGGAAAGGATGTATTTTGACCTTTTTGATGTGTTATTTTTACATAACTAATTGCTTAATTAGGTTTTTGCAAATGGAGAAAGTATGGCACCTTTCAATTTGTACTGTTAATGTAGAGAAGTTGTATAAATGTACATTTTTCCACTTTTGTGATTGTTCAACTGAGAAGTGGTGGTTACAGACAGTACTTAATAATGATTTGCAGTTATTTGCAAAGAGTGGATTGTAAGTTTTATGTTGTTTCCTCAGGTGTGGCAGTCCTCAGATAGCTGTATTAATGTTTGCTCAGAGCTTGACTGGAAACGCTGTCTCGCTGTCCACCTTTGGTACATGCTGCCCCCCACCGCATCCATTGCAAATGCTCTTTGCAAATACGAAGAAGCTTTCCAGGTAACGGACAATTTCCAACCACGTTAGCTGCTTATTTTGTTTAAAGTGTACATGTTTAAACTGCTTTTCTATAATTGTGCTGTAATGGCTCATTTTTCTGTCTTTGACCAGTTTCTTTGTTGCTGAGTATCTATTTCTGGCTTTGCAGTATAGACTTTTCTGAATTATAGAAGCACCCCCCCTCCAGTTTTGCTAAATGAACGAAGAACGAAAATGAGATTGCTCAGTGGTGTTGTATCCAGAAGAGGGCAGTGTACCCATGTACAATTGTTATACAAGTCTTAATGTGTTGTTTTTTTCACACTCGCCATCAGGGCACATCTGATCATGAGAGGTATGCCTGTGCACCACTGCCCCCTTATCTAGACGACTCTGGTCTTGGTCTGCTGGAGGATGAAGAGTTTGAAGAGATGGGAGAATCTAAGAGGCCACTCTATGACATCTGCTTTCATCTGTTGAAGCTTTACAGTGACAGGTGAGGTCATTCCCTCTTAACTCAAAATACTTGGATTTTTTCTGTCTTTTGAAAATAGTTTTAAAATGTAGTGCGACCAAGTATGACGTGTGAATGTGTAATTCAGTTAAAGGTTAGCTGAGAAAACACTTAGTGATTTTTGTAGTTATACAGCTAAGCTGAGTAAAAAAAAATATTGGATTTTGTCCTGCAGGCGTTACAGTCTCCAGCAGCTTCTCGACCCCTGTACCGTGACTGCTGACCGACTGGACTACCGGCTGAGCTGGCACCTGTGGAATGTGCTGCAGGCACTGAACTACTCCCACCTGTCAGAGCAGTGCCAGGGCCTATTACATGCCAGCTATGCTGCACAGCTGGAGAGTGCAGGGCTGTGGGAGATGGCCATCTTTGTCCTGCTCCACATACCTGACACCAGGTACGTATTGAGTAACTGTACTAATTGACCTGCATATCATCAGTGCTGCACCAGTGCTTGCCTAATGTAGAATTTACGTCCGGGCTCTCTAGTCATTCAAACATAATAGTGGCGTACAGAAGTTGCTAAGTTTTAGTTAGTTTACACTGAAAGAAGGTATTATTAAAGTAAAATATCAACAATAGCTGTTCTTTGTTTTCCTGTTTTGATAAATAATAAACTCAGAAATACAATGTTAAGTAGGTGATTGGGTTTGTTATATATTACATAAACTGCACTTGAAGTTCATGCAACTACGATTTAAGAACTGTTACAGATGGGAAAAGTAGTACATTTGAAACCTGCCTTCTCTTTTCAGTCGACGTGAGAGAGCTGTGCGCGAAATGCTGAATCTTCACTGCTCCCTGGAAGAGACTGAAGACTCTGCTGAAAAGGAACAGTTCCTTACAGAGAGGTTGCATGTGCCGGTGCAATGGATTCACGAGGCCAAGGCTATCCGTGCTTGCCGGGAAGGAGACAAACACAGAGAGGCGCTGCATCTCTACAGAGCTGGACGTTGGAACCGGTGTCACAGACTAATCATCCAGCACCTAGCCTCAGGTAAAATTTCATTTTTTTATATATGCATTTAGAACCATGAGTTATTTTTTTTCAACACCCAGGTTGGAAAACCTTTTTTTTTTTTACAAAGAATAACCAAACCAAAGTTTAAGTCAACTCCATTTATATTAATCACCTTCATGTCAGTCACCTGTTAACACATCATAGGCACTAGAACCTGTATTGGAGATTTAGTGGAGAGGCACATTGGTTAGCTTTGCGTGCCTGTGAACACCCTGCATAGCTGTGTTATTAGGGAGCTGTGGCAACATAATCTCACCCTGTGCTTGGTGGCACTCTGAGATTCTCCATGTGAATGTGCAAAATTAGATGTCACAAATGTCTCGGGACATAACCTAGGCTTGAACTCATGACCATAGAGCTCAGCTGAGCCTACACTTGGGCAAGCGCCTTTACCAGCTGAGCCTCTCGTGATTCCTTCATAATGTTTTTGACAGAGCAACAGAATTAGCAGCATTTGATTTGAAGCTCATCTTCGATCTGCAGAGGAATTCCAAAGCTTTTTTCTCCCAGCAATGCCCAGCGAGTTAAATATAACAAAAAAAATTGTTCCTTGATGGAACAATTATGATATTCCAGTGTTGTCCTGATAATATGTAATCCTCTATCTCCTCCATCAGATGCAATTATTAATGAGAATCACACTTACCTGCTGGAGTTCCTTGAGGGTCTAGCGAAGCCTGAACGCTTTATGCTCATCCAGGACTGGGACACTTCTGGCAGGGTTTTCCTTGATTACATCCACGTCATAAGGACCTTGCAAGCCATACAGCAGGTACGCAAACAGTTGTTGATGGATCATTTCTGCTTCAGATGTACTGGTGAAGTTGTTTGTTTCACTTGTTATGACATTTTTCACAGCTGGAGGGTCCTGGATATGAACTGGAGAGGCTCCACACTGAAGTGACATCACTTTGCAGCAGGATAGAGCTTATTCAGTGTCCTACAGCCAAAGACAGACTGGCTCAATCAGGTCAGTGAACATGGGTGGGCTTGGTCTTTCTGGAAGATATTAATGAGTGGGGAAAAATATTTTAAATTGCATTTTGGAAAGAAGAATGTTGCTGTTTGAGTTGATTGCTTATCAAGACCACAGACAACATGCACATTTTTTACTTTTATTTGGAAAGTTGTCAACAGAAGATTTTTAGTTTATTAAGGGAAACAATACAATGGTGTCCTCACAAGGGGAATCATGCAATAAATGCACAGGTCAGTTTTGTTGCCAGTGTGCATTAAATAAGGACAATAGAAGAAATATTGTGTACAACAGAAAAGTGTATACATTGTTTTCAGGTCATGCCATTATAATCCTAACAACATGTAGTCTTGCATTTTGCTGCTGCAATGTGAAAACATCTGAACTGGGTTGCAGAAATGGTTTTGGCTCAAGGACTTTCGGTGTATCATTGAACAGTGAGGTTGCCTTCAGTTTGCACCAGATGTTTTTCTGTTAAAGGAGATTCTTTCTGTATCATCACACTTCTGCTGTCCCATGGGTTGACTTGAACAGCACACTGAAATGATGGAACTGATGCAGTGATCTTCTTGTCCCTCATGGGGCTGGTTTAGTTTTTCTTTAGATGTCTGTCAATCGTTGATGCAGAATGTCCTGCCAACCTCTCTTACGGACAGACTTCATTCACTCCTTGCGTACAGCCAATCTTCACAGCCTTATCTTTTGCTGGTCTTGTATTAGTTGTTTTTAGGATGATTCATTCAGATTAATCAGCTCATTTTGGCAGTTCTTACTCAATTGAAATACAGAACACTAAGTACATGGTATTTATGTGACATTACTTGAGTCTAGTAATATACCAAGAAGCAACATTAGTCAAACCTATCTGCTCACAGTTAAAAATGTTTACATTTTGTATGTGCTGCGTGAGCTATTGATGTCAGACTTACATTTTCATTGTGCATATTAAGTTGTGTATCGCACAAACCCTTATCCGAAAATAGTATAGATTTTGTTGTAATGAGGTACAGTAATTGCACTGAATTATTTATTATTTTTTTCTTTGTGTGTGCTCCCTTCCTGGGCAGAAATGGCAAAGCGAGTGGCAAACATTCTTCGAGTGGTGCTGAGCCTGCAGCAGGGAGGGGAGAGTGCTGATCTCCTGCACATCCCTCTTCGCCATCTGGCTCCACACATTGGCCGCCTTCCCATGCCTGAGGATTATGCCCTGGAGGAGCTGCGTGGTCTCACCCAGTCCTACTTGCGCGAGCTTATTGTCAGTCAATGAGGATCCAGCCTTAAGTAAAGGAGGAAGGCACCTCGTGGAGTGACATTGCAAATGAGTAGTCCAACCCTGGGACACTGGGAGTTTGTGGAGAGAGCAAGTCAAGTTCTTGATTTTCAACTGGTTGCTGCAGTTGTTCATGGATAAGACATTCCTGTGTTACAAATTGAAACTTCTCAATTGGTCTTAAAATTGAGAAGTCTAAAAGTGTTTAATAATTAAACTACACTTTGCAGGAGCTAGATAAAGAAATGTGATAACTTATTTACCCTGTTTCAAGGGAATTTAATTATAAATGGGTTTCTGCGCAAAGAAATAACATTGTGCAACTTAATGCATTTATTTACAGGAATGTTTTAACGTGAATATCATTGAACAAAAGTTTCATCACTGGTATCTTCATCTGTTAAACATTTACATTTCTCTCCAATCGAACATTTTAATAAGTTACGTTAGTTGATCCTATACCCTTTTTGAATATGCAATTTGTCTTATTTTTTGGAGGTGGGAGGGGACATATTTAGTATCCCAGGGTTGGTAAACCTGAAGATAATTGACTGCAAAGAGCAAGTCAGCATACTCAGCACAGGAGCATATTTTAATTTCTCAAAGTTAAGCATAGGGTGTATGTATACAGTTTATTTTCCGATTGTCCTGAATTGCTTTTCTACACTGGGAGCGTCTAAACTTGTGAACTGAGCAGTATGTTCCAGGAGATGAACAAGGTAAATGAACTCTCATTAATCTTGTTGGACAGTGTTTTTTTTGTTTTCTGGTAATTTGCCCAGCAGGATTGTGTAATTGTAATGACTGAAGATAAGTTTGTTTTTGAATGCCACCACATATTGCAAGAACATGAATACATTTGTGTATTGGACAAAACTTTACTTGCTTTGGTAATAGTGGAGATCTTTTAGAACATGAAAAGGCTTTCTTCTAAATTAAGCTGTTCTTGAAATGCTATGAGGCTTAAGTTTTCTTTTGAATGATCATTGATTTATCCATTGATAATCATTCATGAAAACCAAACCGGTACCACAAAAACTGATGTTTTTCTACAACTTACCCCAAATTTGAAAGTGTGTTTTGAAACGGGAATAAATGTGGATTTTCTGATCATTTGTGGACAACATTTTCCCATTACTGCATATTTCACGTGTGTGATCCACAGAAAATATTTTCATTCCTTGAGTAAGAATTGGGTTTTAATGTTCTCAGCTTTCAACTTTTTGGAAGTTTAGCTGGCACTTATTGTAGCTGCTTTGATAGTGTACAGGTGTCACCCAGCAACACCACTTGTGGAGAAGCATCCCTTAAAATACATAAGAACTGAGGTTAGTTTCCAGTAGAAATAAGCTTTCCATGTTTTGGTTTATTACCTAATGCCTTTAGAAACTAATAAAAATGACCATTAATAATTATAGAAAACGTTCTGTTTCTCCCCTGTTATTTAGTCCTAGTGTGTAAGAAATGTTTTGTTTTCTTTTCAGTTCAAGGTATATTAAAGTCTGTCCTTCCAAAAATCTAATTATTGACCTACTGTCTTGCTGAAGTGCATAAAAAGGCTTTGACAGCACTGGTGTAAGAAACCAGTAGAAATCTATCATACACACTGGTAAGGTATAGGTAATGCTGTACATTTTAAAATTGTGTCCAGGTAATTCTTATTTGACAATTTGTCAGTACTTTAGAATTTAAGTTTAGTATTTTCCTGACTTTTTAAAATCCCTATTTGTCTGAGGTGGTCCTTGGTTTGAATGCTTGGTTTGAATGCCAAAAGGCATGGCTAGACACTTCCTACTGTACATACTGTATTAATATTGCTCTTTTCTGTGGCTAGAGGAAGGATGCCCTCTAGTGTCTGTGCCTTCTAGGAGGAAGATCTGGTCTGTCTTTCTGTGGGCTTTGGACTCTGCAAGCATGTGTGTTAGTGATTTGTTTTTATGAAATAAATTAATCTATTTTTTGTCTTCAGAATTGTGTCCATTGCCAGTGTTGTATTTTAAATTTAGAATAAAACTTTAAAAAAATCATTTTCTGTTTCAGCCATTTCCTTTAATTTATGCACTGTTCTAGAAATTTTTAACTGGTAATATTTGTAGAATTTAACTAGGTTATCTGCTACCCCCCCAAAAAAAGCTTTTATTTTCCCCATCTAGTCCTCAAGTTTGTTTCTTAATTTGAAATATAAAACTTTCAGAACATGTTAGTGGTAAAATGTCACTTTCTGATTGCCTAGAGAGACTTCGCATTTCTACCTGAAAATGTTTATATTGAGCTGCAGTGTACACCCAGGTGAGTGCAAGTCTTTGGTTGTGGATGTATTTTCTAGAATATAAGATGCCACCAGTATGCTACTCCCTAAATGATGGATACTTTCCAGAGGGACCAAACAAATAGTAACTCAGCTGTAACATGTTGTCCATAATACTGTCCAGTACATAGTGGACAGTAAATTTGCCCTCAAACTTGGTTCAGTGGCTCAAATGAAAGAGGAAATAATGCGTTAAATTTCCAGGCTACTTACTGGATACCTGTTTTATTTCAACCGTCAGGTGCATTGAATAGGACCTGAAGTTTTAAAACAAGTTATGATTGTATTCTGTGCTTTCTAGACTTGGGTTCTAGTCTCGTATTAAGTGCACTGTTAACAATGAATCATTTCCACGAACCTAAATTTAGACCTTTTGTGTCCCTTCTGGAACCTCAGGATTATTGTTACTGGAATGCAATCCTTATTCATATCTCTTCAGGCTTCTTATGTACTTTCTTTTTGAGCTAAGAAAGATTAATCAGAGAACATCACTAGTGTGCTTTTTTTTATTTTGCATGGTGTTACGGATATTGTAGGGTTTATGCCTAAAAAATAAAATGAACTGCTAAGTTAAAATGAAAATGATTTTCACTTTATGCAAAAGTATAAAAGAAAATTGCTTTGATTTTTCAGTAAGTGTCTCTGTTCTGGAATTCTGGATAGCATTGCAATTTAACTGATACCTCACCAATCTCAAATTCTGCTACAGGGGCGGACAGTAGATACTCTATTTGACTCAGTCAGGTGTCCATGTTAAGATGGTGAAATAGTCAGGGTTATAAGTCTAAACATGCTGCAGGTTTTTCAGAAGCTGCCTTGGTAATGTAACAATTTTTTTCTGTCAACCAGATACACGGATAATCTTAGTTGCAAAAATGTTAAGTGTACTATGGCTGTATTTGCCATTTGAATCTTTTTTCACAGACTCCATTCCTTGATCACTCCTCCAATTTGACATTGGAGAAGGAATTTCACAGCAAAGGACTTTTATTGCAATAAGTGTCACAGCAAAATAAATCTAATCTTTAACTCGTGTTTTCATCATATGTGGCACTACCCTGATTGTTTAATCCTGGTGGATTATGTCTTTATGTACTTTTTGTGTCTAATCTTTCATGGAAAAGCCTCATCCCACCCTTTGCTGTACCTATTAAACAGCCTCAAAATAGCTTTAAAGATAGTGGGTCTTTAATCTGCTGAATGATTAAACATCAAGAACACATCACTGTGCTACAGCAAAAAGGCTATTATATTTTTTTTTCCTCCAATATACAAAGATGCACCAATCCTTTAACATGTGCTTATAAGCTGAAGGTGACAAGGTGGTGTATTGTTAACTCTCCCAGTCACGCTTACTATGCAGAAATGGATGCGAGATGTCATTGTGTTTTCCACATTCAATTAAATGTATTTAAATTACTATTATCGGTTATCTTTCTGCATTGATTAACAGCTGCTGCTCACAGCAAAGATTGCCTTGCTCAGCATCTTGGGGAACTTCATCCCATGAGTTTTTCAAAGAGGAGTGCCTGGTACAGCTTGTACAATTAAAAGTGGTAATTAACCATTTCAGGTGGATGCTGCACAGTGGTGGTGGTGGAGGGGAGTCCCCATTACCTGTAAAGTGCTTTGAGTGGAGTGTCCAGAGAAATGCTGTATAAGTGTAAGCAATTATTACTTAATTTCCTTTGGTGCGGATGTTTCAGTAACTTATAATCAGTCTGTAGGTTGTTGCTTACCATTTTCAAATGGCATTTCCTATGGCCTCAATACCCCCTATCCAGTTGAATTGGAATTTGTACTGCAGCTTCTTTGTAATTCTCTTAATATGTT